ATAGATCTGTGTTGATTGTAGGAAATTATTGTGATTGTATGCATTTGAACATCAGATAGAATTGAAATATATAATAATAAACGTTGGAATGAAATCTAGTTAATAAAGTGAAGCTAACTCTGAGTTGTACAGAAGAATGGTAAAAACTTGACTATTTTAGAGTTTGATTAAGGATATATTTAAGGATGTATAATAGTTTTAGAGTAACTATTCAAAGAATAGAAACCTAGTATACACTTTCATAGAATAGAAAAACTAGAATAAAAATGGTGATTCTAAATCTATGAGCACTTAATAACATTACTTATTTCTATTTATTTATTTATTTTGGTACTGGGAATTAAACTTGGGACTTTGCACTGGCCACTGATCTGTATCCCTAGCCTGAATTCAGCTTTTATGAAGCAAGATTGCCATACTTCAGAATTGGAAATCCATAAGCATATGACTGAGACATTTTTGTACCAGTGTCATATTAACCAAATAGGCTGTCAGTAAGGATATAGAAAATGCTTAAGATGTTTGATGTAATAGAATATATAGAGAGAATCTTGCTTGAACAACTATAGAAACATACTCTTTTAAAGCATACATAGAATGTTATAAAAATTTTGATCATATGTCATAAAGCAGGTATTAGAAAATTTCAAATGTTTGGTGTCATGTAGACTATGTTTTCTTTTATTTTTATTTTATTGAGAAACAGCAGACAGTTTCAAAACAGGTTAATAGGACTGTTACAATAATTAATACATTGCATATTGTCTTTGTAGTGGTTATTCATTGTACAAGATGTAGATATGATATCCTGCCCAAACACTGTTAGTACAAATCTTTCTTCTCATTGCATATTGGCTCTTGAAACAACTCCATATGATTTTTAGAGAAGTCCCAAAAATAAGGGAAAGGAAGGATGAGGTCTGATGTGCATTGCCAATGAGAATTTACCAGGGGTTTTCAAATCTTGGGTTAAAAGTCATTTTTCTAGAAGCAGCAAAGTGCAGTCAGTGCTAGCTCAATGGGCTGAAGAACCATGATGATATCTCTGGGAGTGTCATGTCCAAGTGACTTCATCAGAGGTGCTGTGCCCATTCTGGGTACCAGTTTGTTCTTGGCTGGTACTTGATCTGAATGTGAGCCCTAAGTATCTGGGCTGTTGGGTTCCTTCACATGTCCACAACCAGAAATGAGAGAAGCCCATGAAAATGGAAAAATGAAGCCAGGTGTGGTGGTACTCACCAATAATCCTGGTGCAGAGAACTGGAGACAGCTTAGTCCAAAGGCCTCAGCCACAAGGGAAACAGCAGCTAGTGTTCCCCTCTGTGCATGAAACCCTTCCAAGTTCTAGAAGGGATTAGACAAAACTAGCTATAGCCTGGGTAAAGGTTGCCCCAGGGGCTTAAAGAATTGACTCTTCCTTGCTGTCAGGCCTGGGGTAGCAGTTAACACACTCAGTGTGAGACAGCTTGGAGAAAGTCTATTTGAAATATAAGATTGATTTTGTCGTAAAAGCACAGAAACATGGGTCTATTGTACCCATATTTTAGTCTTTAGAATATTTCTAGAGATGAATTTTTAAAATATTTTTTAAAGAGACTATAAAATGATAAAAAAAAAGACACAATTTCCCCAAACAAAATAATAGAAATTTGACAATGGTTGTTTTATTACGTAATGTTAACTTCAAATTAGTTACTTAGATTAGCAAATTAAAAAGAAAAAAAATTAAGCATTAACTGCTCTTTTTTAGTGGATCAGTACAAATTGGCGGTTCAGTTATCCAAGCCATCCTGCATATATACATAAGTATATCTTTCTCCCTTCTTTTGTCCTTTTCCTCATTCCAGTTTTTTCTTCCTATTGAACAGATTCTTTCCCTTTCACAGTATCCATTGTACCATTCAGATTTTATTTACTCTTCTAGGTTCTTACACTAGTGAGGCAATATGATGTTTGCACATGTGGGTATGAATTATTTCACTTACCAGTATGGTCTCTAGTTATATCCATTTACCTAAGAAAGCCTCAAGTTGATGAAGCTAAATTACTATTTTATGAATTTTATTATATTAAACAATGAGTATTTAACAGAAAAAATACCACAAAAATTAAGTATTGAATTTTTAATATTTGTTGATTATAAAAAATCAAACTTTTCAACATAAACTGTTTTTTGGTGTACTAAGCCCAAACAAGAAACCACAAATAATTTATTATATTAACTATAGTTGACAATATGAATTGCACTTTACAAAAAAAACAAAAAAAAAAACCAAAAAAACCCCCCAAACCTTCAATTTTCACACTCAAGGCAGTCTATACACATGACAATAGCACATTCCATATACAAATACGGCTTACATTAACAGTAACCCAGAACCCCAGGTGTGCTGTGCCTGCCCTGAAACCAGGTGTGGTAGTGTACTCCTGTAATCCCAGCACTGGGAAGGCTGAGACAGGTGGATCACTATGACTCCAAGCTGTGTAACGAGACCCTGTGCCAAATAAATAAATAATTAAAAAAGAATTTAACAGTATGTGTGTTTTTCTGTAGAACATACTTGAAATCTCAGGGGCTTAACATGTTATGCAGTATACAGTTAGCAGGAGCATAAGATCAATAAAATATCAAATATGTAACGAGTGCTTAGAATAGACATCGTCATTTTCACATTAGCTGTGTACTTTCTTACAAAACCTAAAAGAACATCAGAAATAAATTCCTTTATGAACTACACTGAAAATACCAATGGAACTCTACCACAAACATAAGCCTTGCTCCAACTGTCACACCAGAGACAGCGTCACACAGGATATCCATACGTTTCATGTCCCCGTCTCTTTCACTGACAGCTGATGTGCTTAGCCTTCCTTTCCCATGTGGAAGTCTTGTCCCTCTATTTTGTGCTTCCTTCTGTATTGTACAGCATGCACTCAGCAGGGAAATAAGATCAATAAAATATCAAATGTGTAAGGAATGTTTAGATATCAACATTTCGCATCAGTTATGTGCTTGCTTACAAAAATCTAAAAGATAACATCAGAAATACCTATGTGAATTACAGTGTAAACAAAAAAATCTGCCACGAAAATGATCTTTGCTTTAACTCTCACACCCAAGGCTATCTTTCGACGTGACAAAGACACGTTCCATGTGCAAGCATTGCTACCCTGATAGCATGCGTGTTTTGGTTTCCTGTACTTTCTTGGAGGGCACAGTTGACGTTTTTGTTTTCCTGTTGTCATACTAGATCTTTGTGGTACTCTGCCTGCCTATTCACCCAAAAGATCACCAGTGTGGATAATTTTTTTGCTTAGTTTCCTGGGTGAAATGTTTTTTTCTTGCACTGTGAATGGTGTCATATATGCTCCAGTCCCAAACCTCTAAGAAAATTTCTCCATGATGTTTTGTATTTTTTTTTGTAAACTATCAAATTTATACTACACATTTATGATTGGGTAAAACAACCATTGCCCAATGCTTTATGTTTCAAGTGACATTGTAGTTGCTGCATAATTTATCAACAACATCTACCCCACCTTTGGTTTTTCTGTAGAAAGGAACATTCAGGCTATTGTTTTGTAGAGGTTTCTGTATTAATTTTTCCATCATGGTGAAATGTTAATACAGGCAATGCGACTTTGTTTTTCTTTGCCAAATACAGGGCCAGTGTTATATCTTTCTGAAATCCAAAGATTGTACTTTACAATTCTATGTTTCGAAATTGCAGCATTTCATTTGGAGTTTCTGTTTTGTTCCTATGTACTGTTCCTGTGTTGGTTATCTTGTACTGTTAGCATATGTAACATCATTTGGAAACTGGTAAACGAATTTTTGAACGCCACATGCTGATTAGTTTGGAAGCTAGGAGCAACAAGTGTGTTCACAATATCATTTGGTTTATTACCTACAAATAAAGACCTGTGGCTGAGTTCAAGGATAAATGTCTAACTTGGAAGTGTAATGTCTTGATAGCTACAAGGACATACATTGTTATGGCGTAGTTTGAACCATCAGTTTTAAATAAGCCTTACATTCCTGAGATCACCATGAGAAATCCCTGCTAGCTATAGCAGGCCTGTGAATGGTTTCAGGTCACCTAATGAAGTGTCATAATAAATCCATTTTTCAATATGACTATTGGTGCATACAGACTATTTAACTTGCATTTCAGCCTTTGTATTTCACAGCATCTTATTGCATTTCGTTTAATTTTCAACACTTAAGGCAGTGCTTGCATTCAGTACAATACATTTTAACCTGCCAAGAGTCTCACTGTAATTTTTTTTTTTTTCTTCAGACTTAACATTGGGTTGTTCCACTTGGTTGCATGGCCATTTCACAATGTTTGCACTAGCCCAATCAGTACTCACATTGCTGTATAAGGTGGTAAAAATCCCTTTTGCCACTTTTGCAGGATGCACATAGCTTGCTGTTCATAATACCAAGTGGGTAAAAGAGAGTAAACATGTAGCCTGGCTCTTGTATCTCTCAGGGAAAGGTACCGAGATGCTCAGTTGGTACTGTTACAAATTTACAGTAGAAAAGTAAGGGATAGGCCCCAAAGCCTGATTTGTCCAGAGCAGTTTAGCCCCTCAGTTATAGTCTGAGGGCAGGTGGTCCTCCTTTTTGATGGGACACTTGCATGTCAGTGTCTTTGGGTCTTTTCCCTTGAACTTTGTGATGTGCACAAGGGTGCTTGGCAAAGAGGACCAGTGGCTGTGGTAGCACCACTTTGAGGGTCATGTGCTACTTTGTGTTTGCCAAAGGTTTTCCTACATCTTTACCATACATAACCTCCTGTCTTAGGCCGTGTCTCCTGGATAAGATGCAGTTCCTGACACACACAGAGTAGAGGAGGAGAGGCTTACATGGGATCATGGGTGCAGTCTGTGATTGCTGTCTCCAGGCCAGAAGGACACTTGGGTGTGGTACAGGAGAGCCACTCAGGTGTGGTGCTCAGGGTTTCTCAGTTGACCCTAATTCTTTTTCCTTCCAGTAGGTCACTTCTGTAGCTAGATCACCAGCTTGCTGCACCCACCACGATGTCGCGGTCACGACAGCCCCCCCTTGTGACAGGCATCTCTCCGAATGAAGGAATCCCATGGACAAAGGTCACCATCCGAGGGGAGAACCTGGGTACTGGCTCCACTGACCTCATAGGTGAGGACGAGTATGTGGGATTCACTGTGTCAGAGGGGTTTGTGTTGGGCCATTGAGGCAACGAACATTACTTTGAAGTAGTGAAACAGGTAGAAAAACGTTATCACTTTAAAACCATCTGGATAAAAATGATTTGTTTAGTGTTCTGCGGAAGTCATTATTTTGTTAACTATTGTGTATATTATCTTTCAACGAGTACTTCAGATTTTCCCACTGCTGGTGTTTGCCTCTGTTTTGCTCTTTTCTGTGTAGATGGTGAAGATACAGCCAAGGTCCAAAGAAAAGGGAGTGTGGGACAGCTGGGGCTGAGCGTAAAGTGTCAGTATTGTACGGTCTGCTCCAGCTGTGTGCCTGTGAACACATGTTCGCACGCGCCATTTCTTAGCCGGGATCTCACTGGTACAGCACTAGTGCTCTGAGTTAGAACTGACTTTTTCCACATTGTAACTGCTTGGCAGTGGGTGGATTTTTCCTCATTTGGTGAAGCATTTCAAAAGAGAATGTGAACTGCAGCTCAGCGCTGTATGTAATAGCTGAGTTTTGCTTTCCAAATAATTCTTCTGTTAGTGTTAAATGTAATTATCTCATTTCATATTATTTTCTCTGATTATGGTTTTTGCTTCTTTAGTAGATATGCCTCAAATTTGTTCTTGCAAAGATACTCTTATCTAGTCCTGTGTCTTGGTTTTTGGTGTAGTTTAATCCAGATATTCCATTACCCATGTAGAAAAATTCTCACAGTGCTTGGAAATACACCGTGGAGGTGGAAATTACATTTAAAATTTTAACTGGCAGTCTTTATGGGTGTCAAAACATGACAGTTACTAGCTTGTGTGAATTGTAATTTAGCTTCGGCTTCAGGCAGTGGTGTTCTTACATAACCAAGTGTGTATTACTTTCATAAACCTTGCTAGTTCAGCTTTCAACCTGCCTCATGTGTTGCCAAGAAACCATTTTTTAAAAAAGCAAGCATAGCCTACTAAATAATTCAAGTGTTTTAAACTCAGATGACAGGTACACTAGCCAAAGAAAACACTATAAAAAGTACTTTAGTTAGAATTTTATAGGTCACTTTAAGAGAAAGATGCTATTATGTTTCAGAGAAATAGCTTTCAATAAGTTAGCAAAAATGTGCTTAAAAATGAAAAAGATCAGTCTGTGATCTTCTTTTCATTTCATAACCTCCAGTATGATCCATTGAAATCTCTGTTGAAACTTTGTACTGATTATTAATTTTTACAGTAAAAATGCAGACAAGATGCTCAGTCAGAACAGCCTTGAGGCAAGCTGCCGGGATGAACCAAGTGTTGGTGGAGCATCATGTCTCTGTTGCCTCATCGCTTCCTGGGAGCCACTTGTGTTTGGTCCTGTGAATGTGGTTTTTAGACTTTGTCTAGATAGTAAATATGAAATCTGCTGTCAGTTCAGTTTCATTGTAGTATAGCTGTTATAGTCAGCGTTTGCGAGGTAATAGATTTAGTACAGGACACTAATTTATAGGATTTTTTTTATAATCATCACCCAAAAAGTCAGATGCCCCACAGAATCCAGCTGAGTGCCTGGGTCCCATGGCAGTATCCTGCACATTTCACCTGGAGGCCTAGAGTTCACGACAATGTCGCATGCAAGTGTGTTTCAAGGATCTGCACTGGGAAGGCCCAATGGTCAGTGGTGGAAGCTAGAAAGTGTGCATCAGCAGGGATGGAGGACCCGTGCTGTAGGCTGAGGGATCTGCTCTGGAGCCAGGGAGCAATGTTGAAGTAAAGGCCAGAGCTCCCCCAAAGAGAGTTGCAGCCATCCTCAGCCACAGCAACCCTCTGAGCACTTCCGAAAGCCAGTGTGACAAGCTTCTCTAAGAGAATCAGATTCTCATGTGGGCCCTCCACACCCAGCACCACACAGACTCAGTTCAGCTGAGTATTCCAAGTTGGCCATTAGTTAATCCAGCTGTCTAGCAGGGAACTTAAATTGGGAGTGAGTTTATGTTCTGCCATTTATTTATTCATTTTTAAATGTTTTTGTACAGGGTCTCATTACGCAGCTCAGACTGGTAGTGATCCTCCTGTTCTCAGCCTCCCCAGCACTGGGATCTTAGGTGTGCACCACTACGCCTGGTGCAGCATGTGGTGCCGGGGATCGAACCCTGATCCTTGGTCTTGCTCTGCCATTTATTGTAGAAATAGTCTCCTACCTTGAGTTCATATTTAAAATCATAAGACATTTTCGATATTACAAAATTTAAAAGTGATAGCAAAGTATTCACAATCTGTAAATAGGTAGATAGCAAATGAAAATATTTCCTTTTCATTTTATTACTTACCTGTTTATTTTTTGAGGCAGGGAATCATTTCATCACCCAGGCTGGTCCCAAACTCAGCCCTCTGCTTCAGCTTCCTGCCCCACCCCATTCATTGTGAAAGTACACAGACGTGTGTGTGGATGGGAGTGTGAGGGCAGTGGGTACTGTGCTGATCTGGGCAGTGGTTCTCAGTTTTCCATCTCTTGTAACATTTTCCTTTCTTTCTTTGTTACTGGGAATGGAACTCGGGACCTTATGCTTGCCAGGCAGGCTCTTAGGCCACTGAGCTAAATCCAGGCCCTCTTTTATAACATTTTTTATGATAACTGATTATAAGGAGATATTAAAGGTTATTTTCCATTTTGAAAAAATGCTATTATTAGTAAAACAAAGTTGCATCCCTGTACAAATAATTCAATAGGTATTTTAGAGGAACTCCTAAATTCCATTATTTCAAGCAATATAAAGAAGTCTTAAAAATATACTCCGTTATAATTAATATAGAACTATTACTAGATAGTGCTTTAAATTATAGTAAGCTATAACTATCTAGTTAGTTTAAAACCAGATCTGTCATTAGTTGAAGTGCTCGTGGTAGCTGAAAGTAAATTGCTTTTGCTGCTTGACTGCCGAGTACTTTTGACAATGGGAAGGAGTTAGCTGCTGGGGTCTGTGCCACACACTTTGTAGTTACTTTTTTTCTGTATTCATTAGGTTAGTGTCTGTTTTGTGGCAGTGAAAAGTGTAAAGGAAATAAGCTAGAAGACAAGAGTCCAGTGGGCTTGTACTGGTGTTCTGCCTGATTTTGGCTGTAGGCATGAGGGTTGTTCAGCACCTCCCTGCTCAGTTACAGCCTGGATTGTCCTCTCCTGTTCTGTGGGTGAAGGTGATGGACAGGAGTTGACCTCACCCTCGGGGAGTGTTCATTACAGGTACAGAAGGACAGTGGAAGAGTCATGCAGTGATCTTTTTATTAAGAAAGTACTAAATCCCCATGAGCTGCCAGTGTGAGAACTGATTTGCAAGTAAAAGAAATGAATAGCAATCTCAGAAAGCCGGAGAATACCTCCCTGGGCTTAGCACATTCCACACTGTCCTTGAGTTCTGTAATACCATGTGAAACAGATAACTAGGAAAAGAAACACTGTTTCTTTTGAGGAAGATGAATATAGAATGTTTTAGGGACTAGTACACTTTAAGAACATATCAGTAACTTAAATTTCTAATAACAACAAGAAGTGCCCCTCTAACACTTCTGACAAATAATTTAAGATTCTTATAGTCTAAGTAATCTGGAATATCTGGACATTTGTTTGATCTGTTCTAATCTGTTGATAATTGAAGAAATTTAAATGTACTCTGAAAGAAGTCCTAAATATCAGAGACTGGAGACGAGAAAACAGAGATAGCAGTATGTGTGCAAATACTGTCGGATATATTAATAATAAAAATGACGTGGAACAAGGCGGTGTTGTGACTGGCTGCTCCTTTCATGTTAGAGCCGTGAAGCCCGTTTAATGCCTTGTCATTGTGTTGGCCCCTGTCACATGTGTGCTTTGTCTTTAGGCTTGACCATTTGTGGACATAACTGCCTCCTGACAGCAGAGTGGATGTCTGCGAGTAAGATAGTGTGTCGCGTGGGACAAGCCAAAGACGACAAAGGGGGCATCATCGTCACCACCAAGTCAGGCGGCCGAGGAACGTCAACAGTCTCTTTCAAGCTACTCAAACCTGAAAAAATAGGTGAAACCTAATGAATTTATCTTAAAGAAGGATATAAAAATTAGATTATCTTTTAAAATTTAAGACTGGTGTGTTAGCATAGAAGCAGCTTGATCTCCTGTCCCCTTAGGTTGGATTTGCTATGTGCTTGTCTGACGGAGGTCGGGTGTTGGCTGAAGCCGGCCTCTTTGCTAGAGGCAGCACTCGGAGGCGACCTGGGGGTTCCTAGCCGTGCATGATGCCGCTTGGTTTCACATCTGGTTTCCCAGTTTTGAGTCCGATCTTGAGGGTAACGAGTTTGTGTGCATTTTGTTGGCACCGACTTTTAAAGTGTTTGACACTGTGGTAGGGGTTGGAGTCAAGGTGAACGAGCCTGCAGGTCGGTGGAGTGGCCTATGTGACGCTCCCTTGCCTTGCCACCAGGTTCCCTCCTGGGGTCCAGGCAGGCCTGGCACTGGGTGCCCCTCCTCGTTTACTTGTAGCTGCGGGCTCCTGTTAGCAGCGGGGAAGCCGGCCGGAGGAGCAGTGCTCAGCCCTGCACATACCTGTCCCTGCCCGAGTGCCCATTTCTTGGTGGGTAAAAGTGAAGGGATGATGTGGCCACCTCCTAGGTGTGCGGCAGTGAGAGCATAAATGTGGAGTGGTTAGCAGAGCTCCCTGCACGGTATGTTAGTGATTCTAGATTATTTTCCTGCTTACTTCTGTATGTCCTCGTCTCGCCTCCTAATGTAAGAGTGATGCTGGCTTGCCTGTGTGGCTTGCTCACGTCCTGGCTCAAGGGCACAGATCCTACACAGGAAAGTCAACATCGTTGGCAGGATTAAACCCACGCGCTATGTCTCTTTACATAGAAAAGTAAAATATCTTACCAATAGCTCCCTCCCTCTCGCTCTGCCTGCCTGCCTGCCTCCCTCTCTCCCTCCCTCCTTCTCTCCCCTCCTTCTCCCTCCCCCTCTCCCTTCCCCCTTTCTCCTCCCTTTTCAGTGCTGAGGACTGAACGCAGGATCCCTGTGCTAGGCAAGCGTTTCATCACTGAGCTATGCCCGCAGCCCTTTTAAAGTTCTGAGATGTTTCACTAATTTGCCTCCTAAGTGGGATCAGTTTTTCTTTGCTAAAAGCATAGAGCTTTACTGTCATCATCTTCCACAAATTCCTGTATTTTTAGTATATGTGCTGTCAAAATGAGCACAAATTCCTATATTTGTAAATAAATGAGCAGTTAAAGAATTTATGTATGTATTTTTAGTTAAGGAATTTAAATGAAAATTCAGAATTTTTGTGTGTATACACATACTTATGTTACATTATATATAACACAAATATATTTATAAAATATATTTATACAAGATATAAATACTATACACAGTCCTATTTTATTATTTATCATTTAAAAAAACTGAACTGAAATTAAAGCAGGCATTTGTTTATGGTTTTCTGGAGATTGGAACATTTGATAAACAGCGTCATTCTGTAGCATAGCATGCAGCACATGAGAACTCGTGTGAAAGCAGCGTGTCCTAGAACATGCGCCTGGACCTGGTACTGTGTGGTTATTGATAGTGCACTGCTCTGAGCTCCACGGTGTCTGGCCTGGCACAGACCTCAGACAGAGCCGCTGTAGTACCCTGGCAGCACTGTGGGTGCTGAACTGGGGGTTCATAGGCTCCCTTTATCTGCAGCCACCTTCTTCCAGGTTCTCGTAGCCTGTTGGGAGGTGCCTGTGCCTGTGTTGTGTGATGGGTCTCTGCTCAGGCTGTGCTGGCTCAGGTCCCTCAGTGGTTGCTCGTGTGTCCTGTGCTGAGCTGAATGACAAGAGTATGAGCTCACAGAGTGAGATCCTGTTTCCCACACCTGTCCCATATCCCAGAATCACACAGTCATGTCTGCTTCATGGCCTATACATGCTTTGCCAAATGTTCGGCCAATTTAATTATTTTGTTGAATTTCCCCAATTGACTTTAGCATGATATAGGAAAAAAATCTGTTGTTTATCATCTAGAAATTTCCGGCATTGATAACAGTACTAAAATGAAAGAGAAATGGAAAATTGTATGTTACTTTACATGACTATTCATGAGAACCTGTTTGTTATTGTGGAAGAAAATGAGAGTCATTTCCTGAGTTTTCAAGAACCATTTTAAAAAACATTAGGATTTCATTGAAAATGAAATATTTCTTAGCTTATAGAATTTGAAAGAAGAGACTCAAAATATTAAATATAAAATCATAAATGTAATTATATATGATTTATCATAATTATATCAAATATGTAATTAAAGTATAATCATATATTTATCAGTAGTCATGAGTAGGATTTTTTTTGGCTTGGCTTAGGCTGCTCTAAGGGTGAGTCTAGTGCGGCATGTGGAGCTGTGGATCGAACCACGATCCTGTGCCTGACTGAGTCTGCCCAAGCAGGTGCTTTAAACAAGTGAGCTAATGCACAAGCTGCCAGTAGTCATGAGTAAAAATATTTTCATTCAACAAATGCATGGCTTGAATATTTCACACCAGGTTTTCTGAGCCATTTTCTAAAGATTTAAATGACTTGACAATCTTCTCAAGTAATCAAATACTATGGTTCAGAGCCAAGATTCAATTTTATGACCAACTTAAACAGTAATATTTCTCGATGTACGAATATTATAGTATTTATTGTTTGTAAAATACATTTGTTTTTGCAGTATTTTTTCTTGGAGGCTTGTCTTCTCTACTAAATTATGTAACAAAAACATAAACCTAGACGTGTTACTGTTTTCTTCTCATAGATTCTTAGTTTTGGGGTGGGTACTGGGGTTGAACCCAAGGGTACTCTGCCATTCATCTATACCCCCAGCCCTTTTTAAAATTTTAATTTTTACTTTGGGACAGGGTATTGCAAAGTTGTCCAGTTGTTTTAAACTTTTGATCCTCCTGCCTCAGCCTCCTTGAGTAGTTTGAAGTCTTACTATTTTTGATTAAGTCACTAAGCACTGAAACACAAAATCTGAGTGGCGGTGTCCTTCAGTCTCACAGATGACAGGCATTTTGTCAGGCATCTTTACAGCTAAAGCACTATGCATGGTTGGGGAGTGTGTATCTTTCTCTCACTACAGTGGGCTTTGCATTTGTGCAGGCATTTTAGACCAGTCTGCTGTGTGGGTTGATGAGATGAATTATTATGACATGCGCACCGACAGGAATAAAGGAATCCCTCCTCTGTCCCTCCGCCCTGCAAATCCCCTTGGCATTGAAATTGAAAAGTGAGTATTACTTTGCCTCTCATTCTCTCAGCTCCTCAGTGTAGCATCCTGACTGGGAAAGGAGTCCAACTAGAGCCTGAGCACTCTAGGCCGCCACTGGAGGCAGCTTCAGTGCTGGGAGGCAGGTGCCCCAGACAGTTAAGACTTCTGGCACTGCTGTCTCCCCCTCTGCTTTTCCTGAGTTTACATTTTATGAGAAAGAAGAGTTTTGACATTTTGTTAAGTAGCATCTTTTTCTTCCTTTGGCATTGGGGATGGACTCTGGAGCCTTGTGCATGCTAGGCAGCTCTCTCCCTCTGATCTCTACCTCCTGCTCCTCCTTGATGCCGTTTGTGATGTGAGCATAATATATTCTCTGGAGTTGCACAAAATGACTTGATATCTGTGTGTTAGAAGTAGGTCTCAGCCTATGTAATCAGAGAAAAAAAAATCACTGATAATAGTGAAGCAGTTCATCATCAGGATGATTATGTGGGCTTGGGTATTTGGACCTAGAGATCCAGTACTTTTCAGATTCTGCCCAGCCCATTTGAAAGCACAAGGGAGGGTGTGTGTGTGTGTGTGTGTGTGTGTGTGTGTGTGTGTGTGTATGTGTATATGAAATTTGGTGCTAGACATTCCCACCTGAATCCGAGCTCTCTGGGAGCCCGCCCGTTATTCACACTGATGCAGAGCATAGCTTCAGGGTCTCCCAAGATTTTTCCCTACCCCAGCCTGCCGGTGGCACTCTGCACAGTGTGACAGACCTACGTGCTGAGCTTTAGGCTGCAGGGCACCTGTCAGCCTCTCAGAGGCTCTAGGGCCTCAGTGCAGTGTGTCAGGTGCATTCCTGCTCCGTGAGAGTGTGGGCCTGGCTGGGTGTGAGCGTGAAGAAACAACCCTTCTCCTAGAGCCCTCCCTACATGTTAAGCTTGTAACTTCGCCCACAGTAGCACTCAATTTTTATTTATAACAATTTGGTTTATTGCAGATAACATGTTACTAAAGTTTAAGAAGCAGGTGAATTTCAAATATTGAGTGGAGACTGGGAATTTCTGGAGAACTGTAGCTTTGTATCTTTTAGAACCAGCTACTTAGGCATTTTACTGTTTGGGATGTAGCCCTTTGCATTCCATTAAACATATTTTGTGTGTTTTTTAAAGCTGATTGTTGTCAGGGCTTAGCACTCAGACTTGTGAGGACTGCAGTGTCTTTGTCAGAGGTCAGGATGTGCAATTGCTGTATTTGTGAGTTTTGTATCTTTTTTTGTTGTTGTACTTTTTGTTTTACTTGCTATTTTTTGCATCCTGTGTCCTTTCTGAAAGTCATTTCTTAATACCACAGTCCCTTTCTACCTTTCTTATTGTGCTCCGTTCCAGAAGGAAAGTGGTATCTCACTAAGGAGGGCTTGCAAAGGAAATTCTTGAGATCCGCTTTTGCTACTTGCATCCTTTGCTCTGTTAGGAAACATAAAGGAGAGCGTTCAGGTGGGGAGGATGCGTGGAAGACTTTCTTGGGAAGTGCTATGCCGGGCTGTGGAGGAGGGTGTGGAGATTCACAATCTTCTCCACTTGAGCCCAGTGAGTGGGGCTGTCTGGTGAGTGGAGCTCTCCTGAGGATGCCAGGAACCCATATTCTCTGCAGCTGAAACGCACATAGCAAGTAGCTGTGGCCTGGTGGCAGGGCTGGTCCTGTGTCCTGAGGAGTCCCTCTGTAGGAAGTGTGGGATCAAGGCGATTGGCGTTTGTCCCTGGGGATGGGCCCTGAATACCATGGAACTTCTGTGGGGAGATGCATGTAGTAAGACAGCTGGAGAACTTTGCCTGAGCGGTGTCAGCAGGAAGCTGTGCTGGTCAACTTTCCTGTCACCAAGATGAGACAATACTCAGTACCCACAGTTTAAAGGAGGGGAATTTTAATTTGGTCACAGTGTCAGTCCCTGATCACCTGGCTCCAAGTCATGGATGCTCTAGTAGGAGAGTGGTAGAGGGCAGAGCTGCCTGGTTCATGGCGGCTGAGAAGCAGAGCAGGGGAGGTGTTAGAGGGGAATGGGTGACACACTCAGATCCCTGGGACAAGCTTTATGAAACCCTTTGCATACCTGAATGAGAGCAATGAAATATGAATATGAGGGAGTAAACCAGTCCTCTAGGAGGCCTTTCTTCAGTCGGCATTACACACTTTTCACAAATGAAAAGTGTGTATTTTTATACCCTTATGCCCATGATGGGTAGTCTTGCTGATTCCCAAGATGCCTAGTCTCTTTGGCAGCCATACCTTCTTTGACCCCAACTTTGTCATGGTCCTTTTTGGGCCAAAATAAAAGTTTTTCAGATTTTTATGTTCTGCCATTTGCCTTTGATTCTCACTCTAAATCTAAAAGTAACCAGCAGTACCCATGCCTCAGTCTAAATGTTGAGCTGTTATGAAATTTCTTCCACCAGATTACTCTACTGTCCTTAATTTCAGCCTCCCACAGTGTCTCAGAACATGAGCAAAATATAGACAAATTTTCTGCCGGAGTCAAGGAGAACATTTTAGTGTTTGGCTTTTTAGTGTTTGCATTCCTCTTAGCATACAAGTCCTGTTTTTTAAAATTTCCTTTTGTTCTTTTATTCTTTGGTACTGGGTCCCACTATGTAGCTCCAATTCATAGTGATCCTCCTGTCTCAGCCTCCTCAGTGCTGGGATTATAGGTGTGCTCCACCATGCCCACTTTCCGTGGCTGATGCCTGGAGTTTCAGGACCAGCATGGCATGTGGTCGCAGGGATCAAACCCAGGTCCTTGCACTTGCCAGGCAGGTGCTTAGACCACCAAGCTGTCTCCCCAGCCCAGCATTCTGGTCTTTTGAACTCTGACCAGAATTATCGTCAGGCCCTGCTTGCAGTATTCTAAGGGTTATTTCATTATCATTTCCAGATCTTCCCAAACTTTTCCAACAAACCAGTTCTAGAGGTTTCTAAACCATATGGTCAGGGACAGTCACAGTAATGACCCTGTTTCCTTTGGCACCAGCTGTTTTAGTTTTCTTATGCCAAGGCACAAACACCAACACCCACTACTTAAAGAGAGAAGAGGTTGAATTTGCTCCCGGTTTCAGTCATGGCCTGTTGGCTCCAAGGCAGGGACATCATGGTAGAAGCAAGGAGGAGAAGAGCTGCTTAGCTCAGGGTGGTTGGAAGGCAGAGAAGAGAGTACCAGAGAGAAACAGCCCAGGAGTCATGTGCAGTGGGGAGGCGTTGCCTCCTTAGCTCACTGAGACACACTGAGGAGCATGCTGCACTAATCTGGTAGGCTCTTTGAAGTGTGATGAAGTTGGTAGGCTTGAATGAATGACCATAGAAGGGAATGCCCTCGGGCCATAGTTACAGGGCTCCCCCGACCCGACCCGGACAGACGCAGCCTGCATGGGGCCTGTGAAAGCGCCCAGAAGACTCCGCAGCTTGAATTGCCTGTGGGGAGCACGCACAGGCCACCAGTGCTAGTGCTAGTGACAAGTGCAGGATGCCCGTTCTTACCTCTCCTTCTGTCACACCCAGGCCCTACAGTTTGAGAGGGTGAATAACAAAGCGATGGTACAGTCTTACCTTCCCCCACCTTGTTACCTGCGGCTCATCAACTTGCTCTCATCAGGGAAAATTGTACATCTGGGTGAAGGTGGAGTGTCGATCTTAGGTCAGGGCTAAACTTGAGTATTCTGTGCTGGACACATCTCAGCCTATAGCCTGACCTACACCATATATTTAAGTAGTATTTGAATGGGCTAAAAATTTAGAAGAAATAAGGGAGCTGCGGACACTGTAGCCTGTTGTTATCACAAGTGTCTTCTAAGACTCTTATCCCCATGGACACATAAAGACAGGTGCTGCAGTTAGAGGTAGTTTCTTGGTATTCCCATGCTTTCTTAGTGTTAGGCTTCGGGGCAGGGACAGGATAAGTGCTAGGCACGTGCTCTGCTGCTGAGCTGCATTCCCAGCTCAAAACAATCTTCACATAGCTCCTTTATGAAAATATTTCAATAAAGCAATCTAGTGTTTTTATACTTTACTGTATTGAAATTTGGATTTTTATTTATTTTGAATGGGGAGTGATTTCATAGTTTGGTAGAATTTATAAAAAGGTCAATTTTATGTTTTGAATCTTTTAAATCATATTTGTTGATATATTTTCTATATTTCAGTGAATTTCTCTTCTATACATATAAAGTTTACATGGTAAAAATTCAACTGTAATATAGAAAATACATTTCTGCATATATATATATATATATATATATTCTGAATCATTTCTCATATGTCACCATGAGGGTTTTGTATTTAGTGTTTGTTACACTAACTATGTGATGTCTGTCGCATTTTTGTGACAGTGACAGTTATAATGTGTTTTAAATTTTTTTCTCCTTAGAAGTAAATTTTCTCAGAAGGAATTAGAAATGCTGTTCCATGGAATGAGTGCCGATTTCACAAGCGAGAACTTCTCAGCTGCCTGGTATCTCATAGAGAACCACTCAACCACCAGGTTTGTGGCTTTGGGCTCGGAGCAGGGAAGGGCCCATGCGGTGCCAGGGCCAGTGTGGCACAGTAGTCTGACAACTGGACCCAGCTCGTGTGCAGTCACAGAGCTTTCAGTCAGTGTACTCTGTGACCAGTGAGTCTGTGAATGTCTGTTTCCAAAGGGCTTTTATTTCCTACCTCCATTTTATTTTTCCGTATGGTCCTTCCTTGTGTGCCTCATTAAAATGTGTAGTCTTAGCTGGAAACCTAAACTGATGTGTGAATGTGACTCACTCCTTATTCAAATAACATGGAAATTTTAAGTTCTTGTGTAAAATACAAAGCAGCCCATTGCTTTTTCTACTAAAGAGCATACTGTGTAAGACCTGGCCTAAAATCAGATAAAAACTAGATACTTGCATATCCACGTTAAAATGTTCCTTTTATGTGCCAGGTACATTTTACGTACTCTATAAAAGCAGATATGTGACTTCCTTGCAAGTTTGATTTAAAAGTTACACTTAGAACATTTGGAAAAACAAACAGCTTATAGTTTAAAACTTGTGTTCTGGAAAATTCAATTTGTTGAAATATATCTTAATACAAATTTCATCTACTTATTAGAATGAAACTATTTCTAAGATCTTGGTGTATATAAATTTGATCTGATGTCTGAAATGAGCTCTTTTACTGGAGAAATGATTCTAATTTTATGTTATGAGCATTTTTTTCAATACTGAGAATCAGACTGAGGAATGCTTTTCTATGGAGCTACATGCTCAGGCCTTTATAGTTTTTCTTGAGACAGGTTCTCTCGAAGTTGCTCATGTTGGGCTTGAGCTTTCTGTCCTCCTGCCTCAGGCTCCTGAGTTGTTGGGATCACAAGGCTGTGCCCAGAATGCTTTTCTGACTGTAACTCAGAATGGAGCTCTGTTTTATGTATAGAGCTATAATGGTACTTAATAATATAGAGTTTTATAGCTAAATTTTTGTAACGCAAATGGAAAAAGAACTTCTGAAATTTAGAGTCTACCGTTTCATTCTCTGTTTGATACATAAGAGATAAAAATACTAAGGCTCTCTCAGATACACTGTGGGCTGATCTACAGGTCTTAGGTAATTTTTTCCTCAAGGGCAAGAGGGCTGTGAATGGACATGTGAAGGCTGACACCCACGCAGAGTTCCATGGTGCAGCTGGGTGTGCAGGCATCCTGCTGTTGAAATCCTGCCTAGCACTGCAGGACTGTGTCTTCCTATCAGGTAGGAGACACTGAGAGCCCCACACCTGGAAAATCATGTGTTGTTATACGCAGGTTCTAAAAGTACTGAGCACATCTACTACTTAGGGGCCTAATATATTTGAAATTATCATTGGAGATCACAAAACTCTGTATAGCTGTTGTAATTTAAGGATCATAATAAAAGTTTTAGATTTAGAGAAGAATTTGAAAGAATTTTGTTATCAACCAGTTCTGTATATTCCTAATCTTTATGCCTCTGGTCCTAGGTTTGGCATTCCCAGTATGTTACACTCAGTGGATGACCTCGTTTCTTTTCTGCTTATAAGGAGTGACAGACATTTGGGTTGTGTTTCCTTTCAGTTTTGAGCAACTCAAGGCGGCAGTGGCCAACCTGAAGCGGCAGGCCAACAAGAAGAGTGAGGGCAGCCTGGCCTGTGTCAAGGGGGGGCTCAGCACGTTCTTTGAAGCGCAGGACGCCCTCTCAGGTAAGGCGATCCTCCGGCCCACTGAGAGCAAGCGAAGAAACCTGAGCCTGTGCTTGTCACATGTTTACAGGGTGCCACGTTGGGCCGTATTTATAAAAGCAGAGATTAAAACCTACCATAAATACTTGTTGCAGAAGAAGGTGGAATTTCTTTGAAGGCCTTATCCTTTAAATATGTGCTTCTAAGGCTTCGTGGACCCATCTTATGTGGTGACTGAGGGCTTCCTTCGTCTCTCAGGCCCAGCCTTCAGGGCTGGTAAAAATTAAGTATCACTGAGTGAAACTTAAGAATTCTCAAAATCCTAGGCATATGCCTCATTCTGTCACTGAACCCTGTTCAGGGCTGGGCGTGGATCTCTGTGCCGACACCCCATCCCCAGTACGCATACTCAGTCACCCCCTACGAGCAGTCACCCTGACCCCCAGTACGCACATGCAGTCACCCAGCTCCCTCAGTGCACACATAGTCACTCCCCCAGGACACGTGTGCCATCATCTCCCCGGTAGGCCGGCAGTTGCCCAGTCCCCAGGACACATGCGCAGTCACCCCACCCAGTATGCAGGCGTGGTCCCCCGGCACCCCCAGTACACACACAGTCATCTCCCACCTCTGTACCCAGGCACAGTCACCCGCCCCCACCAAGCACGTGTACAGTCATTCCCCAGGACACAGGCAGTTACCCCCCAGCCCCTGGTACACACGCGTAGTGACCCAGCTGTATGCAGGCACAGCCCCCCCCCCCCCCAGTGTGGCAGGCAGCCTGCTGCACAGCACCATCCCGTGGTCTGCATCTCTGGGGCGTTGGCACTGCATAGCTTCTGATGCTTCATGAAGGGGCTTGGGGAGGTTTCCTAAGCTGCCTTTAATTAATACAAATTTAATTTATCTCTAAAAAATAAAGTATATTAATAAAATTTGGTTCCTCTTATTTTTTTAAAAAAATGTATTAGCACATTAGAAGTAAGTTCCTTTGAGAAGTGAAGGTACTTATACCCATGTTCCAGTAGGGCTATGTATCCATAATTAATATTATCTCTTAAGAAGCTGCACTGTCTTTTGTTCCAGAAAGAAAATTTACTTTAAATTCATTGATATTCTTCAAGTACAGACGTCTTTTTTTTTTTAAAAAACTACTTTCCTCAGTAAGTGTATATCTTATGCAGCCCCTTCCCTGTTGGTGGCGGGAGGTTGGATGTGAGTGGCTAGCAGCCACAGCATCATGGTGCTCTTTGACAGGCCCTGCCCTGTAGCCCCGCATTGGCACCTTTCTGTCTTTGTTTATTATTGTCCTTTCTCAGTACCAGTACTTACTCTTACCATGTGAGCAGGAGAGACATGAGCCTGTTAAAAAAAAAAAAAAAAAAATTCGTATTTGCTGTGTAAATCGTGTGCCTTGTCCTCTCTTGATATTAATGTTATACTGAGTTATTAGTACTTACATGCACATGTGTGTGGCTTTATTTATGGTTTTGTTTCTAAAACTGACTATTGGCAGATTTTAAGTTTTGTTTGGCACATTAAATATTTGTAGTCTTAATTTGTTAGATATTTGCCTTGGGAATAGATTGGCAATTTAAAATTAAACAGAGATAATGCTGACCAATTACTAATAAGCAGATGACTATACCATGTGGATCATCATTATAGTAGTACATTTGAAAACCTTAGATTCTGTCCTTAGTTGCTAAAAATGCATTTTATGGAAAACATTAATAACATAATTATGGCTGGGGAGATAACTTGGCTGTCCACGCACCTGCCTGCCAGGTGCAAGGACCCAGGTTCAATCCCCGCTGTGCCAGCCCAGTGCTGAGCCGGCGACCGAAACCCAGTGTGGTGGCGCACGCCTGTAACCTCAGCGCTGGAAAGGCTGAAATGGGAGGGTCACTATAAGTCGAAGCTGTATAGCGAGATCCTGTATTAAAAGAATAAAAATGCAAATACAAAAAGAACAAATAATACCAAGGCCTACTTCCATAGTAGATGTGTTCACAATATTTTGATATTTCCTTTTAGTCTTTTCTCAGCTTATATTCTTGTCCAGTTATCCCTGATCTTTATTTTTATAGTTAATTTGTCCAAATAAAGATTCAAAGTGCAGGCATTTCCATTTAATTTTATGTCTCCTTAGGCTTTTTCAAAAGTAGAGTACTCTGCTCTGCTTCCCTGGATTTTCCATTTTATTTTATTTCATTTTTTATGTTATTGAGGAAACAAGATCATTGTTCTTCGGATTATTGGACCTTGGATAAGATTAAATTTCCAGCTTGGGCCACAGATGTTATTGTGTGCTTCCTGTCCCGTGATGTGAGTCCTACAGTGACTGGTTGTCCCTGCTGGGGATACCACAGTGGGTCAGGGGCTGTGGGGCCTAGGGTAGGCACCAGCACCTGGTGTGTGACACACAGGGCTGATATGCACCACACACACATGTGCACACACATTTCTAAAATTTATATTTTTCTTATTTGGTTTCTTTTACCTTGAAATCCTTTATTGCACTAAGTTCTCATTTTTAGCATTGCATTATACTTGCGCTTTTTAATTTTGATTTTCAGTTTTTCCCTGTGTGTAAAAACCTGTGTTTGCTTTGTGAATTTGGTGGCTCTGCTCTCTTGATGTTAATCGTATAAAGGGCTTGGCAGTCTTTAGGACTCATAGAACTCATTGGGAGCTGTTATATTCATAGTTGCGATTTATTGCAGCTAAAAGGAACTGTTAGCCAAGAGAAAGGGTACAGGGTGAGGCCTAGGGAAGTTCCCTTTGTGGAGCTTTTAGTTCACCTCTCCCCCCAGGCCCAGGGAATCGTGGATAACACTGACTCCTAGTGACATGCCCAGAGCCTAGAGAGTACCTCTCAGGTGGAGGTGAATGCCAGACCTTTTAGGGAGGGTCAGAGTTGGGAGGAGCTATTAAATTCTTCACTGTGTCATAACAACTTTAGCATATTAAGGTCTTCATTTTGTAAGCATTTACTTGATAGCTTATTTGTAGTATTTTTTTAAAAATTGTTTTTTATTGGTGCTGACAAATTAACTTAGGGCCTTATGTATATTAGGCTGTACCGTAGCCCTATCTGTAATATTTTTTTAAATAAACTTTGAGAAGTGTTTTGTTTTGGCCTGTGTCTTATGAGCAACATGTGGCAGGATTTCTGTTTTTACAATACCACTGTAAGAACACTTGCCTTTAATATAAGAATTTATGCCATTTATATTTATCATAACTAAATTTTTATCATATTTTCTTTTTCAATTATTGCTTCTTCATTCTTTTCTATGCAAACCATGTATTTGGGAATTTGTGAGAAAAGTTTTAAAATTCTGTTTAAACTTCTGTTGTGACAGCAGTTACACATATCATTTTCTGTGGTTTTTTTTCCTGATTTTAATTTAGTTGTCAACCCAGTTTCTGTCTACCTTTTCCCTTTCATTGTTAGGTTTATTTTTATGTTTTGTATTTAATTTTATAATAGTTATGTAACATTTTACTAAATATAAAAATATAATTGGTTTTAAGGCATATCAGCAATATCTTTGAATTTGTATTTTTGAGCATTGTGGTATATTGTTTGTGCTATGTTTTTGAATTCTTGTGTGTCTAGAAGTGTCTCTTACTTCATGCACGAAGAACCACTGCTTTGTAAGAGAATCATTTTCTGAAGGGATTGACCCTGTGACTTTGGTGTTGTAGAGAAGTCCTGAGCCAACATTCAATCTTTTATTTGTTGGTTCTTCGTTCTGTCAGTACTGAAATTCCGTGTCGGCCTGCTTGCCAATTGCTGTGGTGCAGTGCTCCAGCTAAACACTTAGAGGAGGGAAGGGTTTTGACTCACCGTGCCAAAGTTGGTTCCATCCATGGCGAGTGGGCTCTTTGGGTTTTGGTGCAGTGACTGTACACCGCAGCGGGGCTTTGGGGAAACATTGTCCCCTTAACAGGGCAGGCAGCAGAGAGTGAGCTGGTGACAAAGAGGCTGGGGACAACCTACCCCTGCAGAGGCAATGAGCTGCTCCCTCCACCGTGGCCCACAGCCTTGAGTTCCTACCTCCTCCCAGCAGTGAGGGCCCAAGCCTCTCACACAGGGCTGTGGATGAAGGATATGAACTCACTGCACTGTTCTTCCTCCCTTATCTTCGGTTGCTTAAAAGTATATTGGATTAGCCTTAAATTTCAGGAAGAGAGAGTCAGGAAGCAGAGGACAGCAGAGGGGACAAAGGAAAGAGGGATGAGAGAAGCAGGTAGGAAGGAGGGCGCTCCTTGAGGATATACTGGGATACAGGGTAGTTCTGTCCACTTTACCCAACACTTAGCACCTTTGGCATCTGTACACCTGGTACCTTCTATTCTGAGAACTTCTTTTGTCAGATATCATGTGTGGCTGACCTCCAAATGGCTGTGCTCTCTTGTGTGCATGGTGCCCAGCACCTCTTTCTCCCCCTCCTTCCCTCCTTTCCTCTCTCTCTTTCATAGGCTCCCTGACATGTGCCTCCCATTCCCTTCCTGCCTGCTGAACTTGGGGACATGGTCGCTAAGTGCTTGTCAGAAGGAAGGAGTTACTGAAGGTGAGGACTGCAGTCCAGAAAATGCACAGTTGGGAAGACTTGGAGATGGTTCAGGTCTCACTGCCTGCCTGCTGTGCTTTCCCCACCTCTTCGCTGTGAGAGTACACCCTTCCTGCCCAGGCCCCCCCCATGTCCAGCCCAGCCCTGTCAGGTTTGCAGCTAGTGGTGCCCTTGGTTCTTTGCTGAGTTTTTATGCATTTCTGAGTTTGGCTTTTGTTCCATGAGTACCACAAGTATTTTAACCAGAACCCGCTGAGCAGTGTATCTGGAGTCATTAACCTCAGTAGGTTTAGGGGTTTTGTTTTGTTTTATTTTGTTTTCCCCCAGTATGCTGAGAAACCATTTGCAAAACCAGACTTCCGTTTTCCAAGGCTGCAGCCCTGCCATTCCTTCCCAGGCCCTTGATGTCCTTGGCAGCCCTGGGCTCTCAGGCACTGCACCATCTACCCTGCGTTGTAGCAGAAGTGGTCATGAAGCCCTGGCTGCTCGCCCAGCTTCCCTTGCTTCACTCTCTATTGTCATCTGCCGTGTACCCTGGGCTCAGGTCCTGGGCACATGTCCTCCCGTGTGGTCTTCCATGGAGCAGGCAGAGTGCATGGGTGCAGCTTACACCTGCTGCCCGCATGCTCTGTGCTCTGTGGAAGAGGTGAGCTCTGCTGTGCTGCCCCTGCCACCTGCCAGGTTCCACGCTGCCATGCCAGGGTGCGGGAGCTGAATGCTTGGGCACGTATTCTGGGTAATGTCTTGATGTAGCCAGGTGTTACTTTCTAGGTCCCATCCACTTAAATGAGCTCTTAGTCCTCTGGGTAGTAACTGCAATTGATGTCTTTCTTCAGTATAACCTAAGAAAGAGATGAATCGTATTGCTGAACCCATTCAAGTGTAATTCTTACAAGGAGGCTCCTCAGTACCCATAAGGTGCCATCAGTCGATGAGGTACCTAAGGTGACTGATGTGACTGATGTGCGAGCCAAGAGGCATCTTGTCATCTCTTGGTTCTGGGTCTCATATTCCTGGAGGCGGTGGGGCATTTCTGGGCACGTGAGTGGCACATCATTGCAGGGTGTGTGGTGGAGCAGATCACTGTCCTCATGTCCAAGACACTGAAGAATGAGGAAAGGCCAGGGCTCTGCAGCCTTGCCAGGGTGTGCCTTGGTGGCCTAACCCTTGCAGCCGGAGCATGCATGGATTAGGTGGGATCAAAAGTAGGAACTCGGTGTTGGGAAGACCGTAGTGCAGTGACTGCTCCTTGTGTACCCCACTCACCTCTTCAGCACGGCCTGCTTTCAGATAGGCTGGAAGCAGAGTGGCTGTGCTTTCCAAGGTTGGCTAAAAGAAAAGAAATCGTAATAACTAGCTGATAGGGACTGAGTAAAATTTTATTGATTGGTTGTCCACAAAAATAATGTGCCCGTCTGCGGGCTGGCCTGAGCAGTGGTGCTGGCCGCATGGAGGGCACAGACTCCAGAGTGTGCTGCTGCATGAGTGTCCTGACCTGCCTGGGGCTTTGCTTACTGGGCACATGTACAGAAATGCATTTTTTTAATAGCAATTACAAATGAGACATCCCTGATTCAGTCAGGTTAAATAAAATGATTTAATAATTCCAGAGAATAATGCTAGCTTTTCTCCCAGTAGTACTTTTCTACATGCCTTGCATTTGTTTCCCAAGCACAGACTCAGGGCAATCAACCGCCTCACATATTTAAGTTTTAATAGATTAGAAACAATAACAAACCTATGATCATGTACCAAGTTGCTTATTGAGTTATTCTATTTAAAACTGTTTTCAGAGAAAATAAAAGGTCGAGTTAAGCAGACACTGGGTTGTTTGGTTTAATTTTCTGGAAAATAGGATTGCCTTTATCAGATCCTGGTGTCTCTGGCCTGCACGCTTGGCTGACAGCTTGACAGTGGCTCTCTGTGCTGGAGAGGAGAGGGGAGGGATGGAAAAGGGAGCTGCTCCATCAGCAGTGGGGGGCTTCCACCCAGCCTGGGAGCAGGTCACCTCGCTGTGACCCACGGAGCAGTGGGTCAGCACTGGAGCACTGGCCACAGACGGCCTCAAAGGCTGGCCCTGGAGGCAGGGCTGTGTGACACACGGTTTCTGGCTGCTGGTAGACCACAGGCAGGGCCTGCTTGGAGGAAGCCGCCCTGTGCCAAGTGTTGTGCTGCAAACAGGGTTGTCAGAAAGTGGCAGCAGCCTTTAAAAAATGTGAGCAGGTTTGCTCTGCAGAGCATGGAAATCTTTCTAGTTTGGATTTTAATCCTTAGGCATAGTCTGTCTCCGTCCCATAAGGAAGTTAAGTTTTCCACAGGTTGAAGTTAAACTTTGATGTGCAGAGACATTCTGTGTTACTGTTCACATGGTTCAAATTTGAAGCATTAAAGAAAATACTTTCTCTTCACTCTTCAATTCAACCAGATAATTAAAAATACAGTGGCTGGTTTTCTTACCAACTATACTTCTTATTGTAAGAATGTCTGTTTTCAACAAAGGAGGAGCTTGTTCATTTTAGAAGTTCAAACAAAATTTGATGTGGCTTTGCAAGAAAAAATATTTAAGAGTAAAATATGGATTAATTAAAAGAAGCAGAGAAATAGTGGGTAGTGAGGATTGAGGACAGCTTCTTAGTGCATTTGAACAATGAATTTGCCTGCAAACTTACCTACCTGGTCAAGAGAAATATGTTGAGCCGTATAGACCTCAGGAAGAAACGAACCACACATGTTTACATGGGCCAACTTTTGCTTTTTTTTTTTTTTATTAATCATAAATCTGCCATCTGTGGCTCATGGGTTAAGGTACTCTAAGTCCTTTTCAAGAACTTTACTGTTTAAATGTTGGAGAATAGCTCGTGCATAGTGATGCACTAGCTGTCAAGCCTTGTAGTTAAGCATCTTGCATTTAGGTTTTCAGTACAGCAAATTGAAGGAAATAAGAGAAATCCTGAATGTTTTAGTAGCTAGTGCTTTGGGGAAGGGAGGCCTCTTTCTTGCAACTGAATGTAATTCCCAGCTGACAGTAAGTTTATTGTTCTCATCTGAGGGATTTGACACAGCCTCATGGGCTGAGTTGCTTGTCCCTGCTGTGTGGGCCTGCAGGCTGAAGTCCTTGGCATTAGGCTCCTATTGCTCACATTCACCTTTTGGCTGGACTCTGTGACCTTGGTCACCTTGTTTAGTTTTCTTATATGTACAATGGAAATGGCATCAGAATGTGTATCACTGACTTCTGACTTTTTACAGTTCTACAAAAATGCATTAGACACTGTGGTGCATAGCAGATAGTCATGGTTCAATGTGTGTTGTGCTGTTTTTATTAATTTGTATTACATCACAATTTCAAATTTGGATTTATGTTTAGTTCTTTACATAAATAAGCCTGATTTACTGTTGAAAACCTCCCTTCTTTGGTGGTTTTTAAATATATATTATTAAGTGATTCACTAATAATCTTCATCAGAATTAGTGACCCATAAATCAATAATGGCAAAAAACTCTTGTGTAATTTAGGTATGCAGAGTTGATATATTTGTAGATGTTGCTAGATCTATATTTTAGAACCTTTAGGAAACTCTCCATGGTGAGTAGAGCTATGTTAAATCCCAAGGTTGAAACTACATTATTTCAGCCTTGAGAGAGGTTGGTAGACTCCAAATTTTAGGGTTTCTGTGTTTTTAATGTTTATTTGTACATGCTTGCAGTACATAACTGTTGCATCTGTCACGGGCAGTGGGCGTAAACGTGAACCCGTCTCACCTTACTTTCCTCCCCTTTCCCCCCTCCCCCACCTGGCAGCTGGTGGCTCTGAGGGATGGGCAGCTGCTGGAAGCACCGATGCCGCTCCCGAGGCCCAGGGCAGCTTATGACGCACTGCGCTGCTTTTCCATTTTCTCCCATCCAACCCCTTTCGCCGTCAGTCTTGAGGAGCAGTGGATGAAGCTTGTCTGTTCTGTGCTCTTTTAATCACACTTAACTCCGAATGACTTGTGTGCTATCTGAAAGGAATGTGGCGGAACACTGATAATGCTCCTTCCCACTGGTGGAAGTAGTATGGCTGCGTTTTACAGCTGTTTAAAAAGTGTCATTTTGATATATCTTCCCGCCCATTAAATGGCATCTATCTATCTATCTATCTATCTATCTATCTATCTATCTCTATATTTTGCAGAACCAGGGATTGAACTCAGGTCCTTGTGCTTACCAGGGATAAGTGGCCTATATTTTAACTGGATGCTTTTTTTTTTCTTTTTCCTAGCCATCCATCAAAAACTAGAAGCAGATGGAACGGAAAAAGTAGAAGGATCCATGACACAGAAACTGGAAAACGTTCTCAACAGTAAGTTTTGTCCTTCTGTGCATATTTATGAACTTCATAACCTGTTCTAACATGGTTTTCGGGCCTGATTTCACAGCACAAGGTGGCGAGCTGCCACTCAGCGTTCATTTCTAAATAGCAGGGATTTAATGGCTGGAAGGGGGAAGGAATCGAGACATTGAAAATGGGTGTTCTGTTTCTGTTTGCGTTTTGTTTAGGAGAAATCATAATTTGAAAACAAGTGATTGTATTTCTTAAGAAAGAGAGTTTGTGGCCAGCGAGATAGCTCAGAAGACTAAAGCACCTGCTTAGGCAAGTGCAGGGACTGTGGTTCATCCTTGACACCACATGCCATGCCAGCCCCACCCCTGGATGGGCTGAGCCAGCCACAGAGTCTGGGCATAGTGGCAAGCCCCTGTAATCCCAGCACTGGGGAGGCTGAAAACAGGAGGATCACTAGAGTCTGAGCTGTGTAGTCAGACCCTGCAACAATGAGAGAGAGAGAGAGAGAGAGAATATATTTGCTCCCTAAACCAGGGAAAGCTATCCTTTCTTATCTCTGAGGATTTAGAGTAGGGAGCCTTGGCTACCAGGTGAACACATGGGCTGAATATCACCTGTTTGTGTGCACCTTGCATTTTTCTAGAGAGAATTTAAGGCCACTAAGAGTATATCTAACTTGAGATGGCAAAGTCTTTGTGTTCAGGAGAAACTGACATAGAAAGTTTTGGGCCCATCCTCTTTCCCTTTCAATCTTTTTTCTGGCATTCTGCATCCCTGCTCCTTCTCCCACTGATTTAAGGTGAAACTCATCAGATCATCTAATCCTTGTGATAATATTAGTGGCTTAAAGTAAGTTACACAGTGTCATCCTTGTAGTAAACTGTTGATATGAAGCAGAATGCCTACTAGAGTCTCCTTGTTTTCAAACATAGTATAGCATATCATTTCCTTATAAACAAGGTCTGAGGAAAAAAAAAAATCAAGAGTCCTCGCGTTAGGAGTTGAAAAATTCTGTGAATATAGGACTGTGGGATGAAGCGAATTTTATACTTCTACCTTAATTTTGTCTGTTGACAGAACTACCTGACCTTTATGTAAACATCTGTTTATAAATTTCCTAATAAAGTGTTTTGTAGAGAGAAACTTTAATTTGTTCTAGATTTTTCTTGGTGGTACAATCTGAACACTTAATTTTATACTAAGTGTGTAAATTCAGTAGCACTTAGAAATCTTTTCCTCTATTATTATTGTAATTATTATTATTTTCTTTGAGAATTTTGCCTTTTTTGAGTGTCTGGGAACCAAGTCACCAACTTTGGTGAAATGAAAGTATTCAGAATTCCATGTTTAGGTAAATGTAGAGGGATTAAAGTCATCCATACAAGCTATCTGACCATAGCACAGTGAAACTGGAAATCAACAACGAAGGAAACCACAAAAGCTTACTAGAGAGGAAATTATAAAAATAACAGCAGAAATTAATTCAATATAGACTAAAAAAATACAAAGAATAAATGAATCAAAAAGTTGGTTCTTGGAAAGAATAAAATTGAGGAACCATTAGCCAACTTCATCAAAAAGAGGAAAGAAAATCACAAATGTAAGCAATTAGGAATGAAAATGGAGAAGTCGTATCAGATCCCACAGAAACCCAGAGAGCATCAGAACCTCCTGTGTGAGTCTGTATTGTGTTCTAGGACGATGGAAAACACAGAGGAAATGGACGGATTCCTAGATACAATTGAACTGCCAAAACTCCGTCAAGAATATGTGCAAGTTCCATCTGATATCAGGCAATGAAATTGGAAATGTAATTAGAAGTTTACCAGCAAAGAAGAGTCAAGGCCCTGACAGATTCATTATTGAACTATACAAGAAATTCAGAGAGGAGCAAGTGCCACTAATGGTGAAACTTTTTAAAGAAACTGAAGGGGAATCAGTACTTCCAGAATCATTCCTGGAAGCAAGTATTACACTGATTCCAAAACCAGAGAAGAATCTGACCAAGAAAGAAAACTGTAGGCCACTTTCCCCAATAAACAGTGATGCAAAAATCCTTAATAAAATAGTGGCAAACAGGATGCAACAACTCCTCTAGAAGATTATACATCATGATCAAGTAGGATTCATCCCACAGATGCAGGGGTGGTTTAACATACACAAATTAATAAATGTAATACACCATATTAACAGAACAAAAGGCAAAAATCACATAATCATTTCAGTAGACACAGAAAAGGCATTTGACAAAGTCCAACACTCATTCATGATAAAAACCTACAAAAAATTGGAATAGATGGTCTCTGTCGTAATCTGATAAAAGCTATCTGTGACAGACTGACAGCTAATATCATATTAAATGGTCCAGAACTGAAGGCTTTCACTCTAAAATCAGGAACAAGATATCCAGAGAAAAAAATAAATTAAAAAAAAATATCCAGAGAAATAATCACAGGGGACCATTGAATATGTTTGACTTCTTTTTGAAAAGAAGGAATAAATAAGTTTGACTATAGTCTACTTAGAAACGACTAAGCTTTTATTGTGTATAAAAATGTACTAATTTAAATGGAGTTTTAATTTTTTTTAATTTAATTTTTTTTTCTGTATTTTTAGGGAAGGGTCTACAGGATGTTCAGGGTCTCACTACTAGATTGGACTCATACTGATTCTCCTGTTTACAGCTTCGCAAGTGCTGGGATTATATGCACATGCCACCATTCTCAATCTCAATCCTCAATTCGTGCGCCCTGGGGGTGGAGCTGGCACAGCAGGCCTGGGGATTGAACCCCAGGCAGGCGCTTTAATCTGCTGAGCTATTTGGCTGGCCCTTTAATTTTTTCAAATAATATTTTTTATTTGGTTTTACAAATTTAGTCTTTCTCAGTTTTAAATTTAAGCAGTCTTTTTAAATTTAGGCAGTCTTTCTCCATTTCTTTATGCCTTAGAAACTTTTTAAACTAAGTTTCTAAGGTATAACATTGTTGGTCACAGAAAAACTTTAGCTGGGCAGGGTGTGGTGGCATATTCATGTAATCCCAGCACTTGGGAGGCTGAGGCAGGAGGACTATTGCAAGTTTGAGACCAGCCTGGGCTTCAAAGTGAGCTCAAGACCAGACATCAGACATCACAGGGCAGCTTGGACTCTAGTGATCCTCCTCTCTCAGCCTCTCCAGGGCTAGAATTACAGGTGCACATCACTACACTCAGTTTTGGTGGTCATTGCATCTGGGTTCCGAGGCCAGCATGGCATGTAGTACTGGGGATTGAGCCTGGGTCCTTGGATGTGCCAGGCAGGTGCTTAGACCACTGAGCTATCTCACCCATCCCCTGATGGCAGTACTTTAAAAGAACACTCTGCCAATTGTCTGGTCTCCCTTCTGACAGTGTGGAGCCTCCATGCCCAAGGGAGGAGAGGGACCTATTTCAGGTCAGGGAAAGAGACCTGTTCTACAGCTCATGAGGCCGAAGGTGTGGCTCTCAGGGCTGCCCTGAGCTGGATTTGTCCTCTGCAAGCACAGAGCCCAGAGCCTTCGCATCAGACATGTGTGGTATGAAGCTCTGGAGCCTGTTGTGTGGTGTGGTGTCCATGTCGTCTGGTACAGCAGGCCTTGTGGGTCTTACCCATGTCTGCAAAATTCATTGTTTTGTACTGGGAGCTGAACTCGGGACCTTGCACTTGCCAGGCAGGCTCTTGTGCCACTGAGCTCTGTCCCGGGCTCTGCCTGCCCATGTCTGTCTGCACCTTCATCCTGCACAAGAAGAGCCCTCTTTTGTATAGCAGCCTTTTTATCCTGTGTGCAGCCCTAGAGAGATGGACAGACAGTACATCGTGCGGGCTGCTGTGCTTGTGTCTACTCTTGGTGTTGCTACCCTCAGGGGTTTCCTTCCACTTAGCAGAGATACGGCTGTGTTAGGGTTCACAGCAAAATAATTTCTTGGCAGAAATTATCTACATCATTTCTCAACATTACATAAATTGAAATTCTTCAGATACAAACGTATATATTTTTGTATAAATTAAATTCTAATTTTATAGTTTATAATTTCTGCCTGTAATTTTTTGTTTAATTGTAAGTGAATTTTCTCTCTATATGTCTTCACAATTTTTAAAGGAGTTTCATTATTGGTATTTTTTTGTCACGTTAAAAATAAGATGAGAAAATTCTAATTTGGGCTTGTATGCTATTTGTACAAATTCTTCCATTGTACTAGAAAAAGCATTTGATAATGAACATGCAAACTCCCAAAAACATACAGTAACCTTTTAACAGCATACAGTTCCATTCTTAGGTCTAGTCATTTCTGAAGCCTGAACTCAGTAAGTTTGTGTTTTTAACATTAGAAGTTCTTTAGAATAATTTTCCTTGAAGGATGTTTTAACCCTGATCAGACTTCAGATCTGCTGTCAGCCTCCACTGTGCAGCTGGGTGGCAAGAAGGAAACGCATTTTTCCTCATCTTGGAATGGAAGTTTGGTGTTCTACGTTAGACAGCATGTGGTGAAAACAGTTATCTTGACCAAACAAAGTTTTTATATCAGGTCTTTAAAATTTCAACAGAACTTAAACATTGTTTAGATAAAGCAATCATGTTACAAAGAAGACTTTTAACAGGACTGGGCCACCCACAGTGTGGACCAGCACACGGCATGCAAGCCACCCAGTGAGGCTGAGGTAATTTTTTCATCTTCGCTTAAAGTATGGTCACTAGACCAGATAATGGAGAGATTTTTTCAAGAGCGATCAAACAGCTGAAAACAGTTTATCTTTATTCTCCCCTTTCCTCGTGTCTAATTAAAAATAATTCAGAGGTTACAAGATCTAAGCTATTTTTGTGCATAGCAAGTTTTCTTTAGATAAAGCAGCACTTATTATAGTGAACCATATATGTGTTCTTTGAAGCCTTTTGGGTTGAAAACCCCTGTGAACTGTCCTGCTTATGCATCATTTTATAAGAATTAGCTGATGTCAGAAATAGTGATGATGCAATGTTAAATTTGTCATTTTCAGTTGTTTATATAATTTTCTGTGCCTGCAATATAAGATAATTCTATAAAAAATAGGATTGGTCTTAAAGTATTCTTTTGAATTCTGCGTACTGTTATTCCTGTTTTGGAATCCTGAATGTAGACACTGAATCTATGGGACCTCACTCGCATACCTGTGCATGTGCACACAGGCATGCATGTGTGTGTGCATTTATTCTCACTGTCTGAAGAGCCACAGTTGCTATAATATTTGGAAGCATGGCCAAAATAAATATTGCTTCATGTTGGAGAATTTATTTGGGCATGGTAAGTGTGGTTATTTTAAATTTGATATCATTCTTAACATATGAAAAGACTTAGCACGCAAATGAAAATTTTATTCTAGCAAACCTTGAAAGATCTCCAACATAGCAAACTTAAAAAAAGAAAATGGTCTTTTGAGTTTTAATGTAAAGCTACGGTGGAAGTCTTAACATTTTGTTTGTAGTCCTCAGTTGGACATTTTCTGATTAAAGTCAGCTTTCACTTAAGTTTCTTTTTCTGTTTTTAAAATAGGAGCAAGTAATACAGCAGATGCGTTGTTTCAGGAAGTGCTGGGTCGGAAGGATAAGGCAGACTCCACAAGAAATGCGCTCAATGTGCTTCAGCGCTTTAAGTTTCTCTTCAACCTTCCACTAAATATTGAAAGGAATATTCAAAAGGTAGAGTTCTTCTTTGTGTACAACTATAGATGTCATTAATTGTAAAGATTTATTAAGTTTTTTTATATTAACAGATGCCTGCATTGTGCTGTACTGATGGGATCCCAAATGTTTCTTTATTTTAAAGGGTGATTATGATGTGGTTATTAATGATTATGAAAAGGCCAAGTCACTCTTCGGGAAAACGGAGGTGCAAGTTTTCAAGAAATGTAAGATTTGTTATTTTCAGATCTTTGACTTCACTTGTATAGGAAGAATGTGTGATGTATGCTGCCAAGAATGTTGTGTACATTTTAGATTTTGTTTATGTGGTGCTTTCTTTAAAATGGGAAGCAGTTACTTCAGAAATGGCCTGGCTTTTCTTCCTGAGATGTGGTGAAGACGAGTGAGTTGGTGGAAGGTTAGCTGCAGGCATTTTTTCTGTTTGTTAAATATCATGGTATTACAAAAGTCCTTTCTTACTAGAAAGAAGTAATGTGAGATAGTTTATAGAATGGAAACCTGCATTTCAGCCCACCCTTACTAGAAAGACCAATGTATTTATTAATTCTAACCTTTGAAGCAAAATACTCTTAGAATTCATTTCTCACACCAGAGTTACAAAAAATAACACAAGCTTAAAATTCCCAGTGTTTAAAACTATCAACCAGGAGAAATATAACAGGGTTATTAAATTCAAAAATGAAATCCATGAAGCCCCAGAAAACAGAATTCATTTCCTCACTGCACTCACTTCCCGTGTG